CGTTTTTCAGGATAACGCTCTGTGCCATGTTTCACGAAAGTTTAGCAAATTTATTAATTCAATCAGTCTGGTTCTCTTATTATTTGCTTTTAGACTTCAGAAACGATGCGTGACTCCAAGGTCCTGTTCATGCAACGTCTCCCAGTTACAGTTCATGTAACTGGAGGGTTATCCTGAAAAACGGTAACTTTTCCAGACGATTTTTCCATGAAATTCATGGAAACATTTTCGTAATTATTGATGCAAATTTCCCACCATTCATGGTACCTTTAACTGATGTCCACCGACAAGGCTGACCATGTTTTATCCCTGCCCAAATGAATAATCTCGACGGGTGAGGAAATCTTTAATTTGGTGGAATAAGTTCTTTTGGGAAATTTTCACCACAAATGACTTTTGTGAGCCTTCCAAGGCTCGTCGCACACCATGCATTCGTCTGCGACGTAAACCGATTGCCAAAATGACGCACGTCGAGATTTGAATTCTCAGGCGAAATCAATAAGAGCCTGCCTTTGCTGCGCGTCCAATGCTGGCTTTACTTCAGCTGAAACCTGACGCATTTTAAATGTTTTCATTCTTGTTTGCAGAACGGAGTATGAATGGCGAGGAAGATATTCCCGTTGGATAGACGGCAAGGATTTTCTGCAATGTTTTTTCAGAGTAATACCAATCAGGTCGTCCTCCTGATTGTATGTACTCGGTTTACGCCCCCCACAAGCTTTTCTGGTTGTTAGTTTCCCATGGATTATCCTGTAAATTGTGCCTTTGTTAGCGTTAAAGCATTGGGCAAGATATGATATTGAAAATCCCAGCTTGTGTGCTCGTGCAATTCTGTTTCTGTCCTCTTCACTGAGATAACGGGAACCTTTGGTTTCAACCGCTGCTTGCTTCATTATAGTGAAACCAATACGAACATTCAAAGCTGCGCACAAAAAATGACCTTGATTTCAAGGTTGACTTTGATTGAAGTGGGATTTCTCGAATTCAGTGAGTTTCAGATCTAATCAAATATAGACCATTATTATGAAACCTTATTTAATGCAATTTCTCTGGGTTATGAAAGAATTTCATTTCGTTATCTAATACAGTTGCTGTAATGGATTATATGTTAGATAAAATAATGCCTCATAACAAATAACCGAGATGGCAAGGGTTTATGGAAATAATTTGGGATAATTCTTGAGTCATTCCTATTAGAAAACACTGCGTTGTCATACTTGATAAAGTTTGTGGTTCTCATGTTCAGATCATTTAATCTTGGCACTCAAGGTCAGACATGTTTAAATGATACTTATGTAGACTAGAAACTACGTAGCTCGAAGTAGACAAGATATAAATTATTATCCATACCTAAAGAATACAATGAAGCTCCATTTGATCATAAAGAAAATATTTTAGTGCATCACAGTCGGCCAGTAATGTGTGTAATATTCATTACCCTGCATGCCATCACAAACAAAATGCATCATCATGTGTATAATCAACAAGCTCAGAAGCAATAGAAACCACAGAAGAACACAACAGACAGATGCAAGCATCTGTGAATATGTAAGGCAAAGAGAAAAGAGATTTTTTACCTGAAACGAAGTTGCCGATTGTCATTTGTCACACGGGTGCTGCGGATCTACGAGACAATGGATCATGGGAAATCGCAAACCAGGTTGTACAGTTCATCAACTGAAGAATCGCCTTCATTTATAATCATCATCATTTTACAGTGTAATACAATGAAGCGAACTTCACTGATCGTTGCGAAACTCACTGCATACAAGGTAAGTGATAATGTGTAAGGAGGACAGGGATTGGACCTATTCTTAGGGACGGGAAAAGAAAGCGAACCTATATGGTCAACACACAAAGTAAACAGTCGAGATGTGCATACATACTATTTCAAGCATTCTGGTCTGATAAGAAGTGAAAGCATGATCGCTATTGCTGTCGGTTCGCGACCATGATCTTCAGTGTCTCCAACCTTCAATGAATTATACACGAAGGGATTCGGCATACCATCAATGTAGCATGTAGCATATGACAAACTTAATTTACTAATATAATTTTTTTACGCTTAATAAACTGCATTTTAGGCTTTGTAAAGTAAACATGAGAAAACGTAGTTACCGCGATGTACTTCGAAAAAAAACAAGCGAATCTGATCACCAAATGAATGAAGAGCAATGGGAACAAACTCAAGAACAGAGAAAACAATGACCAGTGATAAAATGCCTAATGTGATTGCTATTCGAAACCAACTTCAATTACCCAATGGTAGTTCTTTGCTCCAGCAGGCAATATTGATTTTCAGTACTTGCATGATCAGAGATGAATCGCTGTTTTTTTCTTCATTTGTTTCATCCATCTCTGCCACGGCATCCGTGTAAGCCTGACGAGCAATTTTAAAAGCCATATCTGTCTTTCCGGCAATCGAATGATAGAAGGTAGCAAAATTGAGCGCCACACCCAATCGAAGCGGATTATTTGGGGGCAATGAACTTGTTGCTATTGAATTGGCCTGTTTATATGCTATCAAACTGTATTCAGCCACATTTTCTCTGTTACTCCCTTCTTCAAGCTCTGCCAAATATCGATAATAATCCGCTTTTCTTGTAGATGGAATATTTGAATCAAGCAGACTGAAAACTCTTACAGTTTTAAACAGAACACTTCAGCTTCCACTTTAGAATGCGGTATGGTGAGATTGTCGTCTAAATGATCCATAGCCTGTTGAACAAGATTACGCAGTTCGGTTTTCACTTGGTTTTCGAAGAGTTTGTCATACTCTAAGTAGGGCGAGTTTTCTTCCTCCGCTTTCACAACTTCAGAAGTGATCACCTTTAAAGAATATCTCAATGGATCTATCAGATTCTTGTAAGCTGCCGCAGATAAATTTTGTTCTTCCAGTGTAAATTCAGCATCACAGTTTTTCAAACTTTCCAAGTAACTTATCATTTCTGTGGATAACAAGTGAACCCTTCATTACCAACCTTTGTAGCGCCGCGTTTTTTCTGCCAGTCGGATTTTGAAGAGTAGCGTTCTTCTTTGAGGCATTTTCTGCAAGAAATGGAAGCAAAATAAAATAACAGTTTATCATGCTAAGAACGTCTTTACTTTACGAAGTGAACCCATTGATTAGTAACACACAATGTAGGCAAACATACGGTTTTGGTGAATTCCTTTTCAACCCTTTACAATTATCTTTCTATAAAACCATTTCAGTAGGGTCAAGTGGATGTGTGAATAAGTTAGCGTGCCAATTTGAGTTCTCTGGGACCCATTACCGCACACATGACTCATTCATGCATCTATTTTACCCCATTGAAATTGTTTCAGATAAATGGGATTGTAAAGGCTTGAAAAGAAATCCACCAAAGCATATGTTTACCTACATTGTGTGAAAAGTTTTTATTACTTGGAAAACTGAACAACGGTGCTCAATTGGTTCCCGTATCCAGCTATTGCCTTCTATATAGTGTATTCGGGCAACACCATCGCCGCATGGATTTCTTATTATCTTATCAGCCAGTAACTCTTTGATTGTCCGTCTCCTTCTCCCCCTTTTCTTGTTAAATTGTTTGGGCGATGGTTTTAAGTTGAAAAGGAAGTAAATAAAAGAAAGAGGAAACAAACTTGTTAATCGATTACATAATAAAATTATGGTCAACTCAATCCAATCTAATGTTGTCACTTCAAGGAGATTCGAGTGATCCTGGATCAAATAAAACTGGCAGATTTGCGAACTATTTAAACTTTATTTCAATTCCATGATAATATGAAATACTTAATGGTCACATTTGTATTGATAATGT